GTTTTTTTTTTCTTTTCTTTGTTTGGCTAGCAACCTCGTGAAAGGATAGGTTGGAAAAGGTGAGGAGCAGCTTGCACTTGTTTTTGTGAACGCCGATGCACGAGGCAGAGCAGCCAGGCAGGCGGGGACGAGGGAGCCATGGGCCCATGGATGACAAGCCGCGCCGGGACAAATAAACCTACCGGGCGGGGGCACCCGCGTAGCAGAAGCACTTTTGTTTATCTGTGTCTTCTGCCGCGCCGATCTGGAACACCGGAACCGGACGTCGTGTGCGCCAGTGCCACGCACGATGGGCGCATGCAGAGGCGCCAAACAGACGCGAATCCAGCCCTTCTCGTCGCTCAAGAATCCAAGGGAGGCCGTGCAAGACCTGCTCCAGGCCACCGGTTTCCGGCAACGTCGGTGCGGCGCACGAGACTGTGACTGTCTCTACACGACTACACTCTAGTACAGTGTGTAGACTCGCATTGCTTGGTTGGACCCCCTCTGTATTCTGAATTTCTGATCCTCACTTAAGCTCGAGATGCCTAGGTTGTCTTCTTGAGCGAGTAACAGGAGTAGTCAAGGGTGAGTTTGGGTGGGCATATGCTTATTGAAAATCTACAAGGCCCAACCCAATGTAATTAAAATTCTCCTCACTTAATACAAAGACGCGTACATCTTTTACGTGATCGATAAAAAAACTTAAGCTCGTACCGATGCTGTCATGCTGCTGCGTATGTAGGGCTTGCACGTACCGTAAATGAGCTGAAGCTGCACATTTTCCTTTTTTTTTTTTTTTAATAAAAAAGTTTGCAGGAGCATCTCGATGCATGGTGTACAGCGTAGAAGCAGAGAATAATGCATGGAACAAACACCACAAGAACAAACATAATAAGTGTACTACTGAGTACACACACCCGATCGCCACTCGCAGGCACCAAGCTACCCCTACTCCTACTCCTGCAAGGAGCTGAGAATCTTTTGGGCGCGAGGCTTTCGGCACGTGCCCAGGACCCAATCATCGATGCTCTCTACAGGGCACAGGCGGCAGCAGCCGGCATCAGTACAGTAGTACGTTTTTTCAGCCTGTTCGGATCGGTAGTTTTTGCTGGTTTATTTATGCAAGAGAAAAATACTGTTGGCTGGTTCAGATAAACAATATTTATGTGAGGGGCTGGCCAGCCCAACCCCAGTCAGCCAGCCCAGCGAACACGAAGTTTGGCTCTCCGATCCTCTCCGTCGCTTAAAACTGCATTAAGCGCTCGGTTTAGAGAGCAAAGTAAAATAAATAAAGCTGGCCATGGTTAATGATGGCGCATCATGGTTGGAAGACCACGGATGTCTCCTGCGCTCAGCAGTCGTATACTACTGCAATAACTATCACAGTAGCTACTCGGCTAGCTCATCTATGCCCTGTTCAGGCAAGTGTTTAGTTTTCGGGCTAGGCGTCGTACGTGTAGACCCTAAGTTCTGCTACTACGTACTACACAGGGTTTATGTACCTAGGTACAAAACCTAGAACCAGCAAGCACACACTTCTGTGTATGCATGAAGATAGGGAGCAGAGATTTGATTGCACATGTCGAAGGTTACTGTAGGGAGTAGCTTCTAGTAATCATTATCAGGCCTTTTTGGCCCTGTTTGGTACAGCTTATCTGAGAATGGCTTCCTAGATAAGCTGCACAAATAGAGTAAAAGCGGCGGTCAAAATAAGCTGGCCAATAGCCGCGGGCATCCAAACACTCTCTACATAAAAGGAAATGATAACAGCACAGACTATGGATTACGTTGTTCGTACACCAGGGAGGGCCGAGCGTTCATGTACATCTCTTTTGACCACCTAGGGTGCCGTTAAGGTGTGTTATATTAAATTTTCTCTACCTTAATACAAAGACTCGCAAACATTTAAAAAAAACAAGACAAACAACTTAACTAATTCCACATGGGCCATCAGAAATAAAAAAATCCCGACATGTTTTGTGCAAAAATATAATTATAAATTCGATGCAAGTCAATTTATTTTTAAGTCTAACTAAATTTATAAAAAATATCATATTTATATAAAAAACATATATGCTACAAAAATATATTTTGTGGCCAATTCAAACATTACTTGTTCGATGTTGCTATAATACTATTAATATTTTTTATAGACAGGGTTAAAATTAAAAAAGCTAAATTACGCTGTTTTTTTTTAAAAAAAATGGCCGGAGGAATAACAGAGAAGAACGTTCAGTCCGGTCAAAGGGTGGGCACCAGGTTTTTGCGCGACGCAAGGCTGGATTTCGATGGGACGTGCGATGATTCTCCGTAGTGCACGGCGCAACCGGAGGCATGCAGCAGAGATGCTTGCCCCTATCGGCTATCGCATGGCCTTTCACGTTCTGTAACGGTAGGGGTAATGCTCCGTACAAGTAGGTTTCGGGCGATGATACCCATGGCATGCTCCTCGCACATCGTCAGACGCGCACGGCACACGTCCAACGAAATTTTCTCTCTCCCTTTCGCCCTTCTCGAAGAAAATTTCCTGCTATTTCACGGCACGTCTTTCTGCATTTCTGGGACATCGGGCATGGGCATTGACATGACGCGAACGTGTGTGTGTTTTTTTGCATTTTGTCATCCTGTCTTTTCATGCCATTCATGGCGCTACTGGTTGGAATTCCTTGACTGGCATATTTGCACTTCAAACCTTACAGTACCAGATATTATTTGAGGAAGCGGACGAGGAGTTCTATTGAGCTAGTTTGAGGGCTTGATCTAGGAATGTAAGTAGGACATAATAAGAGATCTCTTGTATTATTTTTCATTTTTAGCGCCTTGACATCTTCCAGGCTTCGAGAGGCTTGATCTAGCCATCTAGGAAAGTAAGTCGGAGTGTCGGACTTAGAAGAGATCTCTTGTATTATTTTTGCAGAGAGGGTTTAGCAGGGGCACAGGCTTTATGCTCCGAATAGCAGTAGTGGGGGCTCAAGCGAGGTTATCACGTTCAATGCGCTTGTTCCAAGCATGAAATGGTAGAGTAATAACTATATTTTCAAAACATATATTAACATGTTTTAGATGTTAGTGTATTTTTCTATAAATTTGGTCAAAAGTTGATAAGTCTGACTTAGAGCAAAACAATGTGAACTGTAACTTAGAATCCATATGGCCCCGTTCGGCTTGCTGAAACTTAGCTGAAAAATACTGTTCTGACTGAAATGTTGTGAGAGAAAAACACTGTTCCGGTTGAAAAAAGAAGCCGAATAAGCCGGATATAAGGTAAACCGAACGGGGCCATATAGAGTAATAATAGTTATGAATTGGTGAGAGAGTATTTTGGTCAGTTGGTACCAATTACTACATGCTATTAGCCGGGTTTGCCCATCTAATGCGATAGTTATTAGCTAGCCTTATTAGCAAATGCAGTCTGGATCTACCCAACAAATTTTAGGCAACTAGTAACTGCTATCCGACTAGATCCAAAAGAGCTCTTAAAAGAAGTAACTAACATAACAACAAAGTAAATCCTTAGTCCTCTTCCTTATGTTAGGCAAACAAAACATTGTAATTTAACATACTCCGTTTGTCCTAATAAATATATTATGAGAACGGTAATATAGTTTTGCAAAAGTGCAACATTTGTGAACGAAAACTCAGAGTGTCTCCATACATGGCGCTAAGTTTTAAGTAGAAACTGAAACTTAGATGCTAAATAAAAAAGCGTGATGGAATATAACTATCGCTTGGATGATTTTAGAAATTAGATTATGTGCAATGTTAGTATGTTCTGCACCAATAACTCATCCGAAGGAGAGTTTCGAAGGTTTCTAGGGTCCCAAAGTTTGCCGTCATTAGAAAAAGAGAGGAAAAGGAGTATAAATAGTTTGTGGTGTAGTCGTATATATGTTCTGCACCAAGACTCCAAGAGCTATCTATACAAAAAAAGATTTTACTTAGCAACAAAATTGTCGGAGACCGTTGTTGCCGCTGATGTAACTTTTTCTCTCTATACAGTGCCTGTGAGGACTTTCCAGCTTTTTAAGATAACAGGCAGCTCTCCTGTTAAAAAAAGTGTCCGAGACAGTAGTGATGTACTTCCTTACTCCAATCAAAGGTCACCTACGCTACGTCGGTTCACTGCATGAAAAATGATCTGAAGCTAGTTCTTTTGTCCTATACCGTGCGCTTCTTGCGGTACAACACAAAAAACCGAATTTAGGTCTCGTTTAGTTCCTCTCCTAATGTTTACTCTCTATCTCATCGAATACATTAAATATTAAATACAGATTAAAAAAATAACTAATTGCACAGTTTGTGACTAATTTACGAGACGAATCTTTTAAGCCTAATTAGTTCAAGATTTGACAATGTGGTGCTACAGTAACACATATGCTAATAACGGATTAATTAGGCTTAGTAAATTCGTCTCGCGGATTACTGACGAATTCTGTAATTTATTTTTATTAGTATCTAAACAACCCGTACAACACCCGGATGCGACACCCGAAGGGACACCCGAGAGTTTTACGCCCTAAACTTAAACATGACCTTAAAAGAGGACCCTTGTGTAATTTCAAGGAAGACGGAGAAAACGACGCTCTTCACTTCTTCAGTCCTCTTCTCTCCTCTGGTTTGAGAAACACACGGAGACAGAGCGTGACCGCTCTTGTGCTCTGCTCTGCTGCCCAGGCACCCAGGCAGCCACCGCAACGAACAAAAAGCCTAGCAGCCTTTCCCTCACTCACACACCCACCCACCTCTCTGCTGCGCACACCAACCACCCTCCAGCCTCCGGCAAAACTACAGAAACGCCATCGCTCCGGCACGGTCGCCGAGGCTGCCGCGGCCCCACCGCCCAGGACTGTGGGGTGGTCCGTGCTGCCGCTGCACCCGTCGCCATGACCAGACCACTGCACTTGTTTAATCACCCCCAAATCTTGCCCTTTTCCGTGCCGTTCTGCCACTGAGCACATGGCCACACCCACGCTGCCGCTGGCTGGTGCTGCTCAGCTCTGTGCTCACTGCTCAGACGCTCAGACGCTCCCCGCTCTCCTCCTCTCCAGGCTCCAGCCGCGCGAGCTCAGCTGAGTGAGGTGAGGTGCTGGGCCGACCGGCTGAGTAGCTAGCTGACGGTACGCGCCGCTACCATTACCACGCTGCACCGTAACAGAGCAGGCCTCACGCGGCGCTGTCCCGACCCCGTCGAGGCAAAAGCCCTGGCCGTTCCCTCGCCCCGTGCCGCCGCCGCCGCCGCCGCCGCCAGCGCCCAGGCTTCCTTCTGGTGAGAAAGCGTCCTCCATTGTTCCTCGCGCATTCATCGCTTTAATCCCGACGGGTTCCATTCCCCTCCGTTCCGGACGGGGTCTCCTGCCTTCCTTGCAGCGCGTCTCGTTTTTTGCTTGCCCCGCCGCTGGATCTCGTGGTTCTTTCGCAATGCCGCGGCACTGATTTTGTGGGGGTCGAGTTCTGCTAGCTTCTGATCCGTGTTCTTGCGAGGAGCTAAACGACAATGAATGCACCCGTCCGTGGCTGCATCTCTATTCGGTACACTGTAGCATGAACAGAGCCATTGCTGGTTGGGAGATGTGGGGGATATGGGCCCAAAGATTTTGCAATCTTCAGCGATTGATTTCATTTGAGGTTCTGAGAGGGGTTCTTCGCTGTTCTTTGAGTAGTTTTTATTTGGATTTTATTTCTTGGTTTGCTGTGCCAATGTGCCATGTCATATTTCTACGAGAGGTTGGTGGTGATTGGTACTTGCAATTGCGCAAATCTCTTCTATTTTTAAGTGCAGGCTATTGGGGGTCTGGGGCTGAGGCTAGGGTAGGATTTGACTTTTTGATTGTTTTCTCCACACTTGCTGTTTGTTTTTTCTTGGGAGCCCCACGTTCGTTAGAAAAGGAGAGAATGTGTGGATTATCTGCACTGTTTTACCTTTCATTTCGGTTAGAAAAGGGAGAAGTGACGCCTCATTCTTGATTCCTTTGTACAGCAAAAATGAGGCATTTCATTTTACTGCCTTGATCTGTGCCTATTGAATGAGGCATTTCGTTTCTATGGGCCTGTCCTAGTGTATACTCCTAGTACAAATAATTGCTCCAATACTGCGCTAAGATAGCCTTTAACGTGACTTCTTTTTAAAAATCTTTCTCTTCCTCCTCTTTTATGCTTATATCTGTCTCAAGTTCTGACCTGGATTTAATATATATTGGAGATCCGGAACATGCAGCAGTTTCTGTTTGAGCTCAAAAGCAATGCAAATGATTCCCTTTTAGTACAGTTTTATCAGCCTTGATGTGTCCAGCTACGATCTTGACCTGATCTCTCATCTGAGTTGAAGCTCCTTGTTGGCTGTGCAAGGGGAGAATCAGGGCAAGTACCGAAACATGTGTTCTTATGGTTCTTGTGTCTGATCTTCTGCAGTGACTTCGCTACAATGGGTCATGTCCTAATCAAAAGAAGGACCACATTTCCATGTCAACATTGAAGATACTACTATCTTTCATTATTGCTGGGTAAGTTGGAACAGAGAAGTACATATTCAAGATGATGGACATGAGGCGGCACTCTGTGTCTGTAGATGTCCCACTGTCAAGAACCTTGGTGCAGCTCAAGCGAGTGAGATCGCTGCGGGATCCAGCAACAAACTCGATGAGCAAGTATGCATCTCCTTCTGATCACATGATCTGGGAGACTGCTTCTAGCAATGGGGTGACTCTGGAGCTTGGCAGGTCAGCACATCATCACCTGGTTGAAGAAGACGAAGATGTGGGAGCTGAGCCTACAATGGGTTCAGAGCGGAGTTTTCGGGGACCAAATGCAAGGACTGCATCATATAGGAAATCTTCTGCTGTCAGGATCAGAGGCTTGAACCCACCGAGAAACAAGCAGGTTCATCGTGTCCGCCAAGATGGTCACCGCAAGTCATTAGATTCTAACCACTCAAATCATAGTTCTATCCGTCAGTTGGCAAACAATATGGTCAACAATGTGGATGCAGATAAGGAAGAGGAGGAAGTGAATTCTTATGAAAGACCAAAATTTGCAATGCCAGATAAGGCTGATGAAGAAGTGAAAATGCCAGGCTACTCCAAATTCAGGAGCAAGTCTCCCGCTGCAATGAGCCGCGTTGGGAGCCCCTGTATGTCAGCCAGTGAGGCACGCTCCGTTGGGTCAAGAAGAAGCACTTTAGGGCATGGAACTGAGGATACACGACTGAGGTCAAATGATGTCGTGGGATCGAATTTTAGTGGCTGTGGTATAAGCTACTGCTGGTCAGGAGGGTCAAAGTACCGAGAACTTTATTCTGATAGTGATGGTCCAGATCAACCTCTCTTATCTACAGATGGGACTGAGGCAGCATTCCAAGGCAATGTACCATACACTGAGACACCAAGGTGTTTAAGCCAGAAATTCCGCCCTCGTTCCTTCAGTGAATTGATTGGCCTAAATGTTGTTGCCCAGTCCCTCTTATATTCCTCTTGCAAAGGAAAAGTTGCTCCAATGTACTTGTTTCATGGCCCCCGGGGTACAGGCAAGACATCCACGGCAAGGATTTTTGCCGCAGCACTAAATTGTGTATCTCTTGAAGAGCAAAGGCCATGTGGTTTCTGTAAAGAGTGTGTCATTCTTTTCTCTGGGAAGAGTAGAGATGTGAAAGAACTTGATGCGGCGAAAATGGATCGTTTAGGTCGAGTAAAGGCACTTCTCAAGAGTGCATCTCTCGTACCATACTCTTCGCGCTTCAAGGTTTTCATAATAGATGAATGCCATCTCTTGCAAGAAGATGCATGGTCAGCAATACTGAAGAGTCTTGACGAGCCATACCGGCATACAGTATACATTATGATTACTTCTGACATAGAAGGCCTGCCTCGCACTTCCATCACACATTGCCAGAAGTTCCATTTTCCGAAGATAAAGGTGGCAGATATTGTCTACAGGTTGGAGAAAATCTGTATAGAAGAAGGATTAGAATTTGACCATGATGGGTTGTACTTCATTGCTGCAAAGTCTAATGGTTCTCTTAGAGATTCAGAAATAATGCTTGATCAACTCAGTTTGCTCGGGAAGAAGATCACAATTTCTCTTGTGCATGAGCTTGTGAGTTGTCTACTGTCATCTGTCATGCTCTAAGTAGTATATCATAAAGTCAGTATTGTCATGTTTATATATCTGTTATTTGCAGGTAGGATCTGTGTCTGATGACGAGTTGATTGAATTGCTTGACCTAGCATTGTCATCCGACACAACCAATACTGTAAGACGAGCTCGAGAACTTATGGGGTCAGCAATTGATCCTCTGCAGCTGGTGTCTCAGTTGGCCAACCTTATTATGGACATTCTCTCAGGGCGATGTCAATCTGCAGTTACTGAAGTCAGCAAAAGTTTCTTGGGTAGATATGCATGTACGTGTCCTTTCCTTGCCATGTTTCTTTCTTATTTGCCACATGAGCATTCTCCTATTGTTCAAAATCGCGTGCTAATCTTTTAAGAGCTTGACTTGAACCAACTACAGGATCATACATTTATTGTTGGAAGATTGTCATGATCTTTCTTTTATCTTGATTTTTGAAACTGTGTCTATCTACATCCCTGTTTGTTCCACAAAGGTTTTCGTTTCAAGTCTGGTCTTTTTTGTCACAATTATGCAGTATCAGAGGTTGGAATAAAGAAACTAAGACATGCACTGAAGATACTATCAGAAACTGAAAAACAATTGAGGGCATCAAGGAATCAGGCTACTTGGGTTACAGTTGCGCTTTTGCAGTTTAGCACCAATGAACCTAACCTTGCTGCTGAACCGAATGATATGCATGCACATTCAGTAACTGGATATACAGGTAAACATACTAATTCACAGTATCCCCTGTATTTCCGATTTCCATACAGAATGGAATGATAACCATTTTTGATATCCTATTGTGTAGATGACTGGGTTTCCAAGGTGCACTCAAGTGCCAATTTTTGTCAGGCATGTAACAGCACCAAGTCCAACTGTTCTGAGAGGCACTGTAGGCGGCTTAAGCTTGAGAACATATGGAGGAGAGCCATTGGAAAGTGTCGATCAAGGTCAGCCAAAAGTTTCCTCAGGAAAGAAGGCTTCTTATCATCGGTTCATGTTACTGAAGGTAAAAACAAACATGCCATCTCAATTGAATTTTTAATTTCTCATATATGGATTGTGCTGAAAATGATACACTATATGTACAAATTCTCAGAGGTGGCCATAGCAGAAGTTGGTTTTGGACACCCGGATCACCTATCAAGAGCAGAGAAAATGCAAAGCCTAATAGAATGCTCTTTACAGCATGTTCTTGGGTGCAATGTGGAGATTAGATTCAAACTTGTACCCTGTCCAGTGAGAAAAGATGCTAGGTTGAAGAGACAGTCGTTCAGTTTTCTCAACTGCTCTGGCCGGAAGCAAGAGCTGTCAGATTCAGTTGTGACTGATGAAGATGAAGCTGTGAGGCCTCGAGCAAGAGAGACACCGCTTAAAGGCTACACCTCTAGTCAGCAGGAATCACCATATACCATGCAACGTGTTGATTCAAAACCAACGGTCCATGGTTGTGAGGATGATGCTCGGAGTACCTTGACGTCAAACAGATCCATGACAGATGACCTGACAAGGACGTGCAGGTCAGAGACTAACTACTCAAAGGGTGTAAGTGAGCAGGGCCACTTTGATAGCATCCAGGAGCCTGACCTACAGCCGAATTGCTTCTCGCGAACACTCAAGCTTCAAAAGAAGCTATTGTCTTCTGGCGCAGCACACACAATCTGTTTGAGGATCCAGCCACATAACAAGATGGACTTCCTGCCTAAGAAAGAATTCGATACATACTTCTGCGCATACGAACCTTATGAGCAGTGTTCAAGATCAAATTCAAGAGCTACTTACAGTTCAAGAGATGATGACTTGTAAGCAGTCTGAACTTGGCACAATCTCATGCAATGATATATTCAGTTACATTACTGCCATGTGACGAACGAGTGCTGAACTATTTTATTTCTTCTGCAGGTGGAGCAAGAATTCACGCTTTGGTTCGAATCTACTCTGCTGGAGGGCCCCAAAACAATCCATGTAACAGAGGTACATTACTCTGTATTTTTCACATTACTTGGTCGGAATAGCCATGTGGATTCAGTGTTTTGGACTGCTCGGTTGCTATTTGCCAGTGTTCATGTGACATGTTGACCCCAGTTCTGCCAGAGCATCCCCCACACCAGCAAGTTGCTTTCTTACAAGCGTAACTGCAACAACCAGCACAAGCATTGCTGCTGGGGAAAAGTGAGTCATGATAGCAGAACATTGACATGCTGAAAGCTGGGGAAAAGTGAATCATGATAGCAGAACATTGACATGCAGAAAAACAGTGTCAAATCATTCAGCTTACCTTTTGCATTTCTCTGTGAATTTGCAGGAAAGGATGAGCATATAGATGGAAGGCAGCAATTCTGCTATGACATTTACCAATTTTGCCCGAAGCTGGAGACATGGAGACCACCTGCGGGGACAATTTTTGAAGAAAAGTCCAGGAGGGGTCTGTGTTATTCTTGTTCTTGGTAGGCAGCTGAGAAACTATTTAGTGATATTTTCTTGGAAATGCAGGTCCTTTGTAATGCTACTAGTGGGCAGTTGTACAGCGCGCCAATGATGAAACCCTGTGTATACTGAACAGTTCTGTTATTCTGAATTTCGCAGGACGATCTGAAGCTCTCTCCATTTACATGATCTTTTTTGTTAGCTGAATGATTAACATCGTCTAAACTCCTTACGACTCATATAGATTGATCTTCCTTTCAATCAAAAGATAAATCGATCAGCATCTGAGTCGCATTTGGCACGCGTGCAGAAGCATCAGCGTCAGCATGTGAAGTTTGTTTCAGCGCAACCGGTTGCATTTGCCAGAGAATGGCCATCGCAATCCAACATAAAGATCAGTCAAACTGAAACCAACCAGAAGCCACGGCTGTCCAATGTTCAGAAAAGAAGCCACCACGAAACCTAATAGTCCATCCAGAATCTAAATCGAGCTAAAATGTTTGTAAATGAATGTTTATACACCAGCAGCTACCATGGGGCATGGGAGATGGTTGAGGTCGATGCTGGTGAAAGAAACTAGGCGAGATCAATGGCGACACGATCTGGGGCCGGCCTAGTTTTCTGTCCCTCAGCGAGCTTCACACCAAGCTGCCCCTTGCTACCTGCACCGAGGGAGTAGAGCCTCGGACTCGGTGAGGACGAATGTATGAGAGTGATCCGGAACGTAACTGTCGCCAACCCAGTCCAAGGTGTTAGTCGCGCTAATCTGCACAGCCTTTTCATCCAGCGCAGCAATCTGAGTGGCTAGCTTGGGAATCCGTTCACCCGCGTCTCCCACGCCGGCTGCCTGAAACCACCAGAGACGATGAAACGGCAAGGTCAGGAATTCGGAACATTAAATCAAATAACTTTATCTGGATTTGTCCGAGACTCCAGTACAAACCTGAAAACCCAGATTATGCGAAAGATGGCAACCAAAGGAGTAGACATCGCCATTATCTGCGACGACGAAGGTGGAGCAATAGCCAGCCGAGACGTGCCTAGCCTTCACTGACCCCAAGCCTGCCACTGCCGTGGGGAGGTCAATACATTTTTGTTCATCATCGTGTCCCAGACAGCCATAGGAGTGCCACCCCCAGGTGAACACACGTCCATCACTCGCCAGGGCTGCACAATGGACAGCGCCCGCTGAAATCGACACCGGTTTTACCTTCAATGTCTGGAAATGTTGGATCACCATTGGGATCGTCAGGTTTGTCGTGCATCCATGCCCCAAGCTTGCCTCCTAAACCGCACCCTACCGAGTAAACCGACCTGCAAGTTGAATATTGATACAAATTCAATCTTATTTTGCATGAAAGAACAGGTAAAAAAACTCAAAGAAAGCTCATGCTCGTCCAACGTATATGAACGGTGATGCTTGTTTAATACTGTAAAACTAAGAAGACGACCAGCAATGAATGAATACTGCACAACAAAGGAACGACACTTACATTCCAGTCGGTTGGTAGGCCAACATATGGAGATAGCAATTGCCCGCGGCAATCTGCACAACAAGAGCATCCTCAAGCGGTCCAGAGAGAAGGCGAGGCTCGAGACCAGTCAGGTCTAAATAATGACCAGCCTCTTATCACGCCCCCAACAGAAAGTATAAACCTGACCCTCTCTAGACAGAACAGCAGAGAAGAAGTCTCCAACAGATGCTTGGACTACAAATACATCTTTCAGTGACTCCACAAGCTTAGGGCTGCTGGTATAAGCACCAGCTGATTTCAAACTCGCGAAACTATCCTGTTCAAATGAGTACACGCTTCCTGTGTCGCTCACGAGCATTGTCCTCCTCGAGCCGACTGCTGCTTGTGTGATTCTGATGCCCTGCAGAGACCTAAAGGCATGGTTTGACAGCTGTGCTATTGTGCATATATAGTTCTATAGTTACCAGCAAAACAAACATATGATACGTTACCTAATAAGGCATGGTTCGCATTGTTCTTCTGTATTCCCAAGCCCAAGCTGCCCCGAAGAATTTGCGCCGAATGAGTACACATCCCCCTTTGACGTGACAACGATGCTGTGCCCTGGTCCAGCAACAACTTGAGATTTCCCACGGTGGTGATTCTTCTCACCGATCAACAGGTACATAAGGACGAGCTTCCAAGAGCCTCCACACCGCTCCTTCAGCCTCCCTTTTTCCTCATTGTTCATTGACTTGAAGATGGCCTTTTGGCAGCAAGTACCATATGCTGCAACTTCTGGGAGAGACAGCGTGGCATCTGGCTCAAAGTCTGCACGGCTTCTGAAGAACGTACATGCAGCCTGAACAGCATTATATGGTCATAGACATGATAATTAAGCAGCATTTCAAAATATTAAAAACATTTTATATGTGGTTGTAGACATTAGACTTGCCTCCAAAGCAGCCAGATCCTTGGGTTCCAGCCCGTAGGATGAGAGCACATGGAGGAGAATGGACGGGTTTGCAGTGAGGGGGATTTGCTGAAGCGGTGGACAAGAGTGGGAGGTGGCCTCATTCACAATGTTGTGGATCTTTATAGCCACGGAGGCTTTGCTGTCCGTGGCATCCATTGGGAGCCTGAACTTGATGAGGTGCCCTAATTGTGAGTTCAAAACCTTCATGGACTAGAGCTGCTAAGTAAAAGAGAAACAGATCATCACATAATCTGGATAGCTATCTGGACCAATGCACCAACGAGAGAAGTATCATGTTTCAATACTAGTCATGGATTTCAAACAGACTAATCAGATGCATTTTTCCATACAAAACTATTAGTCATGATCATCCTAGTTTATGCAAAGATACAAATCAGTAGATGTCTATGAGTAAGAGAACATTTAGTCATGCAAGTCTATCAAAGTTCAGCAAAAATTATGTAAGAAAGAATATACCAAAATTCAAGAGCCCACCTCACCAAAAAAAAAAATCTAGCAAATCATGTGAAACACTTGTGCACAATACGTCAACAGCACTACGACCGACCATAATCAACACAAACTGCTACGTATATACATGTCCTTGTCTGCCCGTGCCGACCGAGCCTTGAAGAGCTGCTGCCTCGTCTGCCCGTGCTGACCAAAGAAATCGCACTGCTTCGCGATCTTAACACTTGCTGTACGTGGCCTCTCACTTCGCTCCAGCGCTTCAGCGACTAGACATAGAAGCTAGCTAGCAGCCCGACCCGCATCAAGGCGTAAACAAGCTCCTCCGGCCGGCGGTCGGACGTCTTTGCTCGACGTCGGTCATGCACGCCACCGTGACGGTAGAGTTGGGGGTAAGGTCTTCGAGTTCAATTGCTCACATCACCGAGTCCGTCTTGACTTTCGCTGCCCGGTGCTCGCCCTATTTGGCCAGGGCACTCGCCGGAGACGTGGTGATGCGCCGATGTTCATCCCGGAGCGCCGCCGCCCCGACGGCTCGCACGTGGCCAGCCCTACCCAGTCTTCTTTTGCCTTAACCAACACCGTAGCGGTGTCTGTGGTGAGCTCCTCATGCTGTATCATTTTTCCTTTTGCTCTGGTATCGCTCGTGCTCGCTGGAACGGCTTCGTCGTCATCGGAACGGCGCTGTTTCCGCTTGCTGCCATGGCCAGACCGTTGTAGGGCCCCGCTAGTCGCCTAGCCACCTCCTAGGGTCCCGCTTTGGATAGGTTTAGGTATTAGACCCCTTCCGGCCGCCGGGTAACCCTGCCGTTGGCTTGCGTAATCCCCATATGCCGTCGGTGCGCTGCGCCGTCGCGCGCGCTCGGGGGCATGCCCGTTGCAAAGATGAGTCTTTGCAGGGTGCTGAGCGCAAAACCCTTCTCTGTTGGAATAGTGGCGCGTTGCGCCACATAGTTCTTCTAGTATCCGGGGGCCTTTTTGCAAGGTTGCCGGCGCGCGCGGGCTCCACGCCTTGGGCCGCTTGCTGGGCCGGCTTGCCGCGTGTGGTCGTGCCTCGCGCTGGGCCGAGTGGGCCGCGGTGTCCTTTTCGTTTTCCAGGGAGTTAGAAAAGGTTTTCTAAAATAAATTCTGAGCTGAATTTTGTTATTTAGATATAAAATCATTTAGGGATCCAAAAATAGAGAAAACAATTTTGTTAGGTTCCTAGAATCATGATCTATCTGTTAATGTATTTTATTCATCTAGTTGGTGCTGTTTTTAGGGTTGCTCTGGTTATTTTAAAGTGCTTAGTATTATTAAGATATCATTTTGTAGGAATTATTGTGATCAAATGATGCAAGTGATAGACTTGAAAATTTTACAGTAGTTTCATTGTATTATTATGAGCTCTCTGTAATTTTTGTAACTTAGGATAATTAGTTTACTAAGGTAGCTAATGAGTCCTAGTTCGAATATATATTAAATCAATGAAATAGAGGAACATCTTGGGGTTGTAGAACTAAAACATTTGTTGGGAAATAACGCCTTATTCGACAACATGGATACGTGGCCTAGTATGTTAGTCACTAGAGCTAGCTCGTTAGCGTGAGAGGCATAAACGTATTTTAAGAGTTGCGGTTGCCTTTGATTAATTACGTCCCTGTGTTGCATCCATGTATGTCATAATAGGAACAACGATGGATCGTGTAGTCAACCGGAGTAGTAGAAAAGATGATGTCTTGGTGATCGTATCGCCACGATGTAATGCTAACTTTTGGTTATATTCTACCCAAATAAGCCTCGGTGCATAACCCATATTGTTCTGCACTTTATTTTATGCTTGTACATTAAGTTTAAGGAGTTAAATGAAACCCAATTGCACACACATATATATATATATATATATATATATATATATATATATATATATATATATATATATATCCTTATCCTATTAGTTTTACTAGTACGACAGGATCGTATAGATTGCTATGCTACAAGACTCCGGTAGAAATCGAGTGATTACCTGTCACTCGAGAGACATAGAAAATATATTATTGTTGTTATTATATTACTATCATATGGAATATATATGAATGATAATTGAAGACTGGACGAAATGGTACTTTAGATCTAGACTTGGTTTGGCATTCGGGCGAGGCTCGGATTGCACTTGTTTCGCCTGTGTCGGTTAAGGACCGGCCGTTGCATTGGGTTCTAGTCAGATCACAAACTTATTATCCTGAACACATACTTGTTTATGAGAGCAGAGAAGGCTCATTGCTCACTTGTCATGGGTTCCGGCTCTTTGCGGATCGACTGATTGGAGACGGGGATGGTGGAGGTTTAAGCACCACACTGAGTCCGGGACTCAGGTGTGGGGGCTTAGAGTCTAAGTTTGGACGGGGACCTAGACCCCTTGACAGGAGAGTGATGTGTTGGTCCTGTTTGTGTCTAGGGTACAAGCGGGGCGTGTGTTTTGGGGTACCCAGCTGAGCACATTGATTTGCAAATCACCGGTTAATCCGGTACGACTTGTTTACGATCTAGCACCGTAATAAGAATTGGAATATGAAAGATGACAAAATGGTCTAATTACTTACCACCTGCTTGAAAGTAGCACATGTGCTTACATAGAATGGTTAGTTAATGAACTAATGGTGACTGCTAATTAAATTGAATATAAGGACGCACTTTTAGTAATGCTTCCTGCAGATGCAATAACCCACGAGCTAGATAGGCTTGCATATCCTTGGAGTCTTTTCTTTCTTCCTGACGGGTAAGCCTTGCGGAGTACAATTGAGTACTCAGGGTTTGTTCTACCTTGTTGCAGGTGACAGGAACATGTGGAGCTGGCACTTGTGTGTGGAAATCTCCTGATGTGCTCAGCGAGGATTTCCTTAATATTGCGGACATAGAGTTTATTTAAAACTTTCACCCAAAATGTTTTACAATGGAAAAACTTATAACCTGCTATGATGTATATAACGAATCATCATGTTAATGTTTAACTTGTCATTAAATAATTTTACTTCCGCTGAAACTCTGATAACATGATTATATTCCGCTGTTATAAACAATAAATATTATACTCTGATGTTGCATAAAAATGATGTAAGAAATGGCTAAAATATTGTAAGCTTTATTCTCCCATTTATGATCCTGTTGAAAAATGTGGATTTTCAGGTTCTCCCATGGGATGTGCTCGACGAAACTGTCCGATATAGCTCTTTTTCGAAGTGCTTAGTGTCTAGTGGTAGACAAACGCCTCTGAAAACATGTTATTTCGGGCGGTTCTGCCACATTATACAATTGCTATAACTACGTGGCACTATATACTTGCCAAATTTATACTCACTACAAGAAATACCTTTATACATGACAGTTCACATGTGATCTTTTAAGAAATCTTCATAGAATTTTGTCATCTGTGACGG